AACCTAGAGATCAACATTCAGCTAGAAACAAGGCACCTAGATATGATGATGGTGCCTCAACAAGCGGGCACAAATGTTGAGGCACCATCATCATATCTAGGTGCCTTGTTTCTAGCTGAATGCACCTTCAATTTAAAGAAAAGAGACAGAGAATTTGTGGCCTCTTCAACAAGCTGAGCTTCAACAATGCAGCCCTCAACTCTTGCTTTGTTTTGGACTTTTTGTCTAAGCTTTTGTATAGCCCTAAGAAGAAAAAAATTAGCACTTTGAACCTACAGTTTAAAAATGTACCTCTCAATTGGATACATCCATCGATATTGTACAGGGCCTCCTAGTCAAACTTCCTCAGCAAGATGTACCATAAGATGTTGCATAGGGTTAAAAAATCCTGGAGGGAATATCTTCTCTAGTTTGCAAACAAGAACCACTATGTTCTGTTCCAAAGCTAATGCATCATTCTTAGTAATTTGTCTAGCACACAATTTCCTTAGAAATAGCTGAGCTCAGCTAGACAAAGCCAAACATTTTCAGGCAGGAATCCATGGAAAGCAATAGGAAGTAGACGCTCCATGAAGATATGATAATCATGACTTTTTAGCCTCAATATCTTCTTTTCTGCATATTAATCCCTCTTTTAATATTTGCAGGCATACCCATTGGGAAACTTCAGTGTTTTGAACCACTCTAAAATGATGGGCTTATCATCCTTATCAATGCAGTATGGTGCCCTTGGCATATGCCACTTGCCATTGGGTTTTAATACAAGATGCATGTTAGGACGATCGCAAATCAATTTTAGGTCTTGCCTTGCCTTCGCATTATCTTTTGTCTTATCAGCTCTGTCAAAGCATGTGTTCCATATAGCTTCACCCATATTTTTCTCATTGTGCATTACATCAATGTTGTCTTGTCGACAAAAGATGCTCGGCAGTCCTCCGAGGGGTATCCCACGAAGGTAGATTGATCGGTGGAGGTGCGCGAGATCAAGAGCGAGAAGGTGACACAAGGCGCAGAGACAGCGATTTAGACTGATTCGGGCCGTCTGATCGACGTAATACCCTATGTCATGTGTCTTTGGTGAATTGTATTGAATATGGGATGTATGTAGATGTCGACTAGGGGACCCCTGCCTCTCCTTATATACTCTGAAGGGGTAGGGTTACAAGGAAAGTATCCTATTTGGTACTATACAATATCTTACGGTGCACGTCGACCAGTGCCGTGCACGCCTTGATCTTGTGGGATGGGCCACCTCTGATGGTGCGGCCCTTGTCTTGTCTTATGGATACCGACGGTTATATCCCCCACAGCTAGTCTCCGAGCGCCTTGTATCCTTTGAGCAACGCTGTCTTGAACAAGTCTGAGCATTTGACGTGAAGCTGATCAGTTTAACTGGTGATCCGAGCAGTGGAAGTCAAAACCGACCAGTTTAACTGGTGACCTGGGCGGTGAAGGTCGAAGCCGGTCAGTTTAACTGGTGACCTGGGCGGTGAAAGTCAATGCCGACCAGTTTAACTGGTTAGGAGACCTCGGACTTAGCCGTGATGATGAGGCACCTCAGCTTGCATGCCTCACGGAGATATGCGAGCCAGACGGAGAGCTTGGCTATCTTTAGCTTGCCTGGCACTGTGGATCATCGCGGTCGTGCCTGGCTTGCTAGCCATTTGTGCATGCAGCCGTGATGATGAACGCAGTTGAATTCTTAGCTTTGTTTGGGGTCAAGCGGAGGCGTCGCCCGATTAGCTGATGGAGTCTCCCCATGGATGACATACGTGTATATGCATGCATTGCTACTCCACGTAAGACGTGTCTTGATTATTTGCCTCAGGATCTTGTCAGCTGATGCACTCGTGGTGCTGCCGAGTACTCCGAACTCCACAGCCTAGAGCCGCGGTTGATGACGCATCGAACCGAACGTAGATCGACAAGGAAAATCCGCCAGATCTTGCCGCCGATGCCAAGCCTGATTAATCGAGTTGCTAGAGGATGCAGAGCCGTGTACGCCAAACAGGATTTGCCGCTAGACTCCACGTATCAAAACTTGCTGCCGCGAATTCACAACAAGTTACGACGTGACGTCGGGTCACCATGGGTGATGTTGACGTTGATTTTGAGATCCATCTCGTTCGCCATGGATCAGCACGCACAACCCCACGGTGGGCGCCAACTGTCGACAAAAGAAGCTCGGCAGTCCTCTGAGGGGTATCCTACGAAGGTAGATTGATCGGTGGAGGTGCGCGAAATCAGGAGCGAGAAGGTGACAAGGCGCAGAGACAACAATTTAGACAGGTTCGGACCATCTGATCGACGTAATACCCTACATCCTATGTCTTTGGTGGATTGTATTGAATATGAGATGTATGTAGATGTCGACTAGGGACCCATGCCTCTCCTTATATACTCTGGAGGGGTACGGTTACAAGGAAAGTATCCTATTTGGTACTATACAATATCTTGCGGTGCACATTGACCAGTGCTGTGCACACCTTGATCTTGTGGGCTGGGCCACCTCTGATGGTGCGACCCATGTCTTGTCTTATGGATACCGGGGGTCATATCCCCCACATGTGTGGAAGTAGCAACTTTTTGAAGTAAGGTAGCTGCCACAAACCATTAATGTGTGTCCAGTTGTGTTGTTTATTAAATGCCTTCCTATCACTGACTTGGAGATTCATTTGGGCTTCTATTTCTTCTCCCGTCAACTTTCTTGGGGGTTCATCCAACACTACTGTATCCTTCCTAAATGCATTTCTTTGGGTTCTAAATTCATGGTCCATGGGAAGAAAGCATCTATGACAATCAAACCAGCACGCCTTATCACCCTTAGTGAGTCGGAATGCTTTGGTGTCACCTAAACAACGATGGCACGCCAACAACCCATGGGTGCTCCAACTAGCAAACATCCCGAGGGCAGGAAAATCATGTATTGACCATAGATATGCTGCTTTCATGGTGAACATTTCCTTCATCGATGCATCCCATGTTTCAACTCCATCCTTCAGAGTTTGCAGTTCATCTACTAAAGGTTGCATGAAGACACTAAATTTTTTTCCAGGATGGTCTGGACTAGGGATAACAAGGGAAAGAAAGATGTATTCTGGCCTCATGGCAACACCAGGTGGGAGATTATATGGAAAAACAAACACCAGCCAGCAAGAATACGAAGCAGCCATGGGGCCATATGGTGTGAAACCATCGGTTGCAATGCCTAGCCGCACGTTCCTTGCCTCTAGTGCAAACTCCGGAAAATCAACATCAAATTGTTGCCAAGCTTCACCATCATGTGGGTGGTCCATTCTACCAGACATGGAGCGAGGAGATTCTTTGTGCCATCACATCATTTTCACTGTTGCCTCATGTGCATAGAGCCGTTGTAACCTATCTGTTATTGGCATATAGCGCAAGACTTTGCGCGGGACCTTATTTGAGCCATCCACATAGCGAGGGGTATCACAAAAGTCACATTTCTCTTTATGCTTGTTATCTTTATAATAAAGCGTGCAGTTATTGTAACATACATGAATTTTTTCATATGGCATGCCCAGACCTTTTAGCAATTTTTTTGAATGGTAGAAATCCTTAGGCAAGTTACTATCAGCTGGTAGGAGTTCATGGATGAGTGCCACAATGTCATCATAACACGAAATAGAGAGGTTGTATTGTGACTTTATGGATACCAACCTAGTAGTGGCTAACAATGTTGAGTGGGTTGTTTTGTCATGAACTAATTGTTCTGCACTATCAATCATCCTATAGAAAGCTTGAGGATATTCTGTTGGTTCCTCATTATCTAGTGATGGTGCAGCTGCAGCTAAGTCTGCCAACATATCATCCATTCTATCTGTCTCACCAAAACCCTCATCCATTCTATCCGTCTCACCAAAACCCTCAATTCCTGGCTGCTGAAAGCACCTCTCACCATGTGCAGTCCAAGTTTTATAGTTGGACTTAAACCCATTTTGACATAGATGCAGCTCTACCTTGCCCCTTTTGTGCCGAAAATAATTCCTACACACAACACAAGGGCATTTTATGGTACCCTCTTGTACCACAGACTGATTAGAGAATGCAAAATTCATGAACTGATTTGTACGCTGAACCCAATCACATGTTGGTCTACCACGCTTCCAACCACTATACATCCAATCTCGTTCTGTCATAACTTAGTTTAACATAGACAAAGGGCTACAATTAGGCAAAAAAGACTAAGCTGGACAACTCCAATCTATTTCTGGATACATTTTCTTTTACTCCATGCTAGAAGCTAAAAGAGGACAAAGATTTTGGCACGCTGAGTTCGCGGGCGCTGGCTATCAGCAACCGATAGGAATAAACGGGCATCTCCTGACGGTTTTAGAGATTCCTGAGGGCTATTCGACAACCGACAGGAATACGAGAACGTTTCCTGACGGGATTTAAGCATTTAGCAGCTGACAGGAGTTCGACGAAGTTCCTGACGGTTTTCTACGAACTCACAGGAATCCGCGGAACCGACAGGAGTTTTCTCTGGTCTGGTAGTGTGAGATCTATTTTAACAGGAAGATTTCTACTTTGAGCACTTTATTTTGGTTTTTTTGCTAGTATATATGAATTCTCAACACAAAGCTGCCCGGGTGTCTGCTGCTGCTGTTCTTTTAAGAAGTGTCCTTTCTTTTTTGCGGAACCTATTTTATGAAGTGTCTGACTTTGAACGTGGTTTAATTAACATATTCGACTAAAGTTTTTATTGTATTTTTTTATTTTATTATTATCAGAGTGTATGGTGAAGCACTAAGGCGCCAATACTAGGAGTACAACATGTACATGACGATCACGTACCACGTCGTGATGCCTTTCTCCTTTCATGCCCTCCACTACGCACCACCACCGTCCACCGTCCTTGTAAATGGTCAAACCGCCATTTGTTTTAAGCCGCCCGCGCGCACGATCAGTTTTTCGTCAGCTCATGCACCAATCCGAACGCCAATACAAGTCCATACACGTCGTTGTGGTGCACGGCGATGCAGTCCCGCGAGGGGGAAGAAGCAGCCACAGCGGCGGCGTCGGAGCCCGACGCCATGAGCGAATCGTGGCCAGTGGCGGAGGAGGCGCCACAGGAAGGAGCAGAAGCCTCCGCGCCGGCGGACCGCGGCGGCAAGAGCCCGAGCCCGGCCCCGCCAGCGTCGCCATCTACGGTGAAGGAGCGGCAGATCCCCGTGGACCCCGCGTCGCTGCGCCGCCTGGGCATGGTGGCCGACGAGGACTCGCCGCTTTCCGCGCCCTCCGTGCTCACGGAGGTGGTGATGCAGTCGTCCCCGATCCTGCCGCCTCTCCGCCGGCCCACGTTCGTCGGCGCCAGCCTGCCGTGCTCGGCGGCCTCCTCCCCGGTGCACGCCGGCGCTCGTCCAGGTGCTGGTGGCGCCAAGTGGGAGGAGCAGCCTGACACCCACAGCCCGACCTCCGCGTCCGCGCTACGCTCCCTCGCCCGCCAGCACTCGGCCGCGCTCGCCCGGCTCGTCGCCGCGCCCGCGCCGTCCACGCTGTCGAGGTCCGCGTCCCGCGCCGAGGGCAGGACCATGGGGCCGCACGACGACGAGGAGGAGCCGGTCCAACCCAAGACGCTCGCCGCCGCGGAGGACGGCTTCACGTGCGGCGCGCTGTGCATGCTCTTCCCGGGCTTCTCCAAGAGGAAGCCCGCCGCCGCCTTCGCCGCCGGCACCACAACCGCTGCCACGACCGTGTCGTCGAGCGTGCAGAGGCGGCAGCAGTCGGGCTTGAGGCCTCGCCGCAGTAGCGCGTCGCGGGTGGCGTCGCTGGAGAGGTTCGAGTGCGGGTCGTGGAGCCCTCCTCCTCCGCCACCGCCGCCCGTGGACGCCGTCGACTGCCACGCCACGGAGGTGGCCAAGATTAGCTGCTCGGACGACGACGCGGAGGCGCCGTTCAAGATGGCGTTCGTGTTCGACGGCGAGCCGCCCGCGGCGACGAGGGGAATACTGAAGAACTCGGCGTCGTCGCGGTTCGACTCGGCCAGGCCGTCGACGTCGTCGCAGAGGCACGTGAGGTTCTCGACGGCGGTGGCGGCGGATGCGGCGTCTTCGTGCCCATCGTCGCCGTGCATCACGCCGCGTCTGGCGATGGCCAGGGCGGAGTTCCACGCGTTCTTGGAGGCGCAGAGCGCGTAGCTGGTTGCCGTGCGCTCTATCATGCGCACTGATACTATCCTGCGTATCAACGCTGGCTCTTGGCTGCGAGCCTGCTGCCATAGACCCGGGAACATTTCGCCTCGTTTCATCCATGGCCATTGTTTTCCGTTCCCTGCTTGGGGTTGGGCCTTAATCGAATTTATTTTTCTTAGCGCGGAGGCTTGAAATGTGAGGAATTCATATGTGTAGTGTACAAAGAATGAACGGGCAATGTTCAGGACGAACAAATGAAACTGACAACATTACCGTACACAAATTAAAAACAGACTGAAACTCTAACAAGAGGAGAGGGATGAATAAGAGCCTTCAATGTTTCTCAAGAGTCAAGCCCTGTATATCCTAGTAAATCATAGAGGTACTTGGGCCATGCCGGCCCGGCCTATCTCTCTCGTGCTTCCTGCCGCTTCCGGACGGGACTCTCTAAGCACGTGAGGCACGACACTGTGCCGCTTGTCAATCTTCGTGTCGTGGGGCCCTACCTTCGACTTATAATTTGGAACGGATGGAGTATTACTAATGTTCTTTGGCCATGTTGATACCGGATGGGTTCCGAATCACACTAGTAAGGGTTAGCTCCCCTAAAAAAACAAGCAAGGGTTAGTACACCCAAGGGATCGACCGTGATCGCAGCAAGAACACAGTGAACCGACGAAACCGATCACGACATCAGTTAGGCCGATTTTGAGCCCGTTCTTCGCGTGGTAATAAACTCCCGAACGCCTCCTGGGAAGACCTCGGGGAGGAACACGTGGAGGGTGCCCTAGAGTCGGCGATGCCACCTAAAACGTCGCCAGATCTCGCCGGAAAGACGTGATGAACAACAAAGTAAAGAGATGAGAGGATAAAAGGGTGGTGTATATGTGCTTTTGACGATGAAGTGTATAGACTAGCAAATATGTCCGCACGTTCTAACAATACATGCACATTATTGTCCGATAACCTGTATCGGAGATATTAAGGAGAAACTTAAGGGTATTGGGAGAAGTAAAAAAGGACATACGGAAAGAATTCCTTCGTTTTATTAGGGAAAAAAGAAAGTTTATTCTGGCCTCTTTAATATAATGTAAATATAGATATAGTGTATAGATATATTTCATATATGGATATAAACATAGATTTTTGTAAATCTCGTATGCAAACCCTTAGCGCATATATATATATACATATATATATATATATATATATATACATATATATATATATATAATATAGTTCAATTGCCTGTGACAGTACCATTCAAATAAATATTATTTTATTATGAATACATCGAAGCTAAGTGTTGTTTAGTTGATTATATTTTTTGTGCTAGAACTTGTCTACTTAAATTTATGGTCTTGCCTTAGCATATATGTTCATTTCGAAAAAAAAATACTATAAATAGAAAAATTCTAGGTTTCACAGAAAAATACTGTAAATAGAAAAATAGCGCGCGCTGTAGCACCGACGTGGCCCCTTTTGCATTCACAAGAAACGTACCCCCACCAAACCCGCAGCCGATAGATGCCCCCTGTCTCGTCAGTTGTCACTTCCTTCTCCCTCCAGCTCCAGCCTCCAGCAGGCCGCCTCCGCGCACCCGCACAGCGACGGCCGTTCAGCATGGTGGCAGCGTCCGTGGCCGAGCGGGCCTACGAGGTGGCGACGCGGTCCGCGCTGGTGGCACTGGAGCGCAACCTCATCCCGGACGCGGTGACCCGGCGCCTGACGCGGCTCCTGCTCGCGCAGCGCCTCCGCCAGGGCTACCTCCCCTCCGCGCCGCTCCAGCTGCAGCAGCTCCTCCAGTTCGTCCGCTGTAAGTACCGAGTACAACTCCTCCAGTTTGTCCGTTGTTAAGTCCCGACTACCGGGTGCAGTCTGCCAACTGCCAACGGCCCGCTGTAAGTATCGACTACCGAGTACTCCGTACATCGGCGCCGCCGTACCGGCGAGTGTTCCGCCACCCCAACCGCCGCGCGGCGGTTTCAGTTAAAGGTCGGATAAGGTACTAGAAACTACGCGCGGCTTTGCCGCGCTACACGCTGTAGCAGGGCCAGTGAACCTATATTTTTTTAAAAAGTAGGGATGTCCATATGGAGACCATCAGTGTGGGAATCAGCATAGCATATTGCATTTCAATCGTGCACAGCCTATATCAGATAGGAAGGATTGCATACATATCACATTTCAATGCTCGACTTTAATTCTATTGAAAAGGAAACAGTCCACTAAGTTGTAGTACTCCCCAAATAAGTCTGATAATTATTAATTCGTTCATATCAATGCCGGTTGTAAGTTGTAACGTGTAATGTAAAGTAATCAATCGGTAGCGGCAAAATATCTGAAACCTGATCCATGATTATCACATTGTTGGTGGTTCTTTAGTCCACAGAAGCAATCTCCATGGCTATTTGCCCATTTCCTGCATCTTAGCAAAGCAGAGGCCATGTGAAGCAGGTTGAATGGCAATGGTCTTAACCAATGGCAGATCCTGTAGGAGTATATTGGGTTGAGAAGGTAATCGATAATGCTTGCAAAATTTATGTAGTTCGCACAAAAAAAATGAAAATATAGTTATATAAATTAAGTTTGGCAGTATAAGGATGTATCTGTATAAGAACTGAACTTGAGAGGAAGGTAGAGGAAGAGTTAACATGAGGGCTCAATGTACATGAATCTGTGATCATAATTGGTTGAAAAGGTAAACAGTCTCGATAAGTTAAAATTTGATTCTAGAACTCTAGTATTGCAAGATAAATAGCGACTTATACATCATATCCAACCAAATGAAAATTGTATTAACCAAACAAATTTAGGTGGTTGTCATACCTAATCTTGTAACTTGATTGTGATTGTTGACATATTAGGCATGTACACTTAAATGAAACGCCAAATAATACTTACTATTTCCTAAAAATTTGAATGGAGAAGTGCAAAGTTGAGGAACTATATATGATAAAGATAATGATTGTTGTTAAGTTACAATCGAGCCATTTGATGCATCAACCACTCTGTGTTATGAGAGTGAAGACAGGAAAAAGAAATAATTCAGTCACTTGTCCTGTTGAAGGATTTGCATAAACATCTGTATCTGATAATTTGGTGCTCTAGTGGACAAATGCATAGGCATTCTAATGAACATACCAAAGTTTAAGGGTAAAATTATTTGAATTTTTCTTGTGCCGAGGTCTCAACCATATGCCAGGTTAATTCTGCAATCCAGATTAGTGCAATGGATGATAGAGTTACCTTAGGCAAGCACAACAGCTTGAAATTTTCTTCTTTGTTTACTTCATCGAGTAGGATTTTCTGTCAGTTGCATGAGTGTCAATTAGGCAAAGCATTGAACATAGGCACATCACATAGCGCTTACTCATAACCTAGAAGAAATAGATACAACAATGGCCATTATATTCTGATGGCGCAAGAAAGGATTCCCCATTTAGATATGCAATGGGCTTCCCAAACCAAAATTCTGCAACTCCAATTTGTCACATGCATTTTGACCATGCCTTTTGACACTCTTCAGCTAACTGCACTTCTCACGGGCAATTCGTCAAGCACACGGTGTGCAGGCATTGCTCAGAAGCAGCGCGAGTGTGCTGCTGGCTCCCCAAGCTGGACCAATCCACTGCTTCACCAACGCCAGCGGAAGGAAGCACCGGAGGCGGTCGACCTGCTTCTTCTTTACAAACGGCGACTGCTATGGGATGAGCGTCACCAACGCTCATGGCGTCAGGCTGTGCTCCGCTTCGCAGACGCAGGTGCGATTTAACGAGGCGGTGGCCGCAGGGGCTGCGAGGAGGGGTGTCGGGCTGTCGCGCGGGGGGCTTGATGCGCCATGCCGAGGAGGGTGGCGGCGATGAGGGCAGCGCCGAGGGAAGGGATGTGAGGTTCAGGGGCCGAGGAAGCAACGGCTTAACGGCTTGCTGGGCCATGGCATCGCCATCGGGCTGCATACACCACCCTGCGCTTAGCGCCGGTGACCCATCTCTACTCGCCCCCACTCCCAAACGCTTGCACCAAGAGCCAGGCGCCGCTCGCCCGCCGCCCTTGCCTCACGGGAGGAGGGAGGTGCGGGGCCCCACCGGCCTGGCGCAGCGAGGGCCCAAATGACCCCAAGCAGGGGGGAGGCGGGTACGGCAGGCGGGCCTCACCAAGCGCAGCTGCTGTGTGAGGCGGCAGCGTTTTGGGCCTCCCACCGCGCCATACGTCCGGGAGAGAGAGGAGAGAGAGGAAGGGCGCGAGGGCGGCAACGGCGGCGGGGCAGCAACAGGCGAGGCCGTGGCCGAGCTCGAGGCGAGGACGTTGGATTTGGGCCGAGGAAGGGGCGGTGCTTGGGAGGAGGAGAGGCCGTCAGGCATGCAGGAGGAGAAGGTTAAATGGTGAGAGGAGGCATGGATCGAGGGTTGATTTCGCAAAGTTAAGGGCTTTTCAAAAAAACTCGAGAGGATGTCTGGATCATGGGTTGATTCGACTAAAGCTCGAGGTTTTTTTTGCTAAAATACCGCTGCTCGCCCGATCTGGGCCATCGTAGCGCCTTGATCGAACGGCTTCAAAAAGCACGCTGACGTGGCACGCCGGGTCAGCTGCCAGCTTTTGGAGGCACGATTCATATAAGAAGATTCGTGGTCGTGGGGTGTCCGTGGGAAATATTCAACGAATATATGGGGTGTTATTAGGTTGACCGCTGTAAAAAAAAAGGACATCTCACATTTTGATAAGTTAAACAATATAAAATTTTGACTAAATATATAAAAAAATACTAATATTTGTGATACCAGGTAAGCATTATTAGATTAATCACGTCATACATTTTCATAGTAAACTTATTTTGGAGACACAAATGCTGGTATTATTGTTTATAAACTTAATCAAAGCTAAGAATGGTTGACTCCTGAAAATAAGGTTTTTTTAAGAAAAGGCAGGTTGCAGGACCAAATTAGAAACACCCTCCCACCGTCAATGTGTTCACCCCTCAAGAAAATATCCTGCGCCTTTGCAGTATGTCCTCTTTGATCAAGGAGGCAATCTGTTGTGCCGTCTTAAACTCGTTCTAAAAAATCCTCATATTCCTCTCCTTCACAAGTTCCACACAATATAGATTAGTATTCCGTTGAAACGTCTGCGGTCCTGTTTTGGGGAAACGCCTGCAGTTCTGTTTTGGAATCTTGTTTGCTGCATCTTCCCACCAATCAGCAATGCAGTTAGGGTCATGTTGCAGCAACTGCATCATGAGATTTTCCCAAGATAACACTTGGCCTCAAACGGCCTTTGCGAAGGGGCATAGCAAAGAGAGATGAAGCCCTGTCTCCAAAGGTCCATTTTACACAAAACATAATGTTCTTGAAGAGGCCACCCCCTCTTTTGTAGACTAGTAATTTGCGCGTGCCCATGCGCGCGTGATAACTTTGCGGTTTTATTTGTCAAATGAAATAACCTTGACAAAGAATGAATAACACTCAAAAGACCAAATAAAGGAAAGGCGCATTATATTGATATAGTAGGTTGACATGAACATAACATATTACAGGAGACACTTGTTCTCAATATGCCAACATAGATAGGCCATTGTTCTTGATAAGGTAGCCCTTGGACTAAAAAATATGAATGGGCAACTTCATTCCACAGCCTCAGCCTGCCCATTTAGATGAAAGCATATTCCCAGCTTCACTCAGAAACAGAAAAAGAGAGTACAGTACTCTATCCATGAATAGCTATGATGTTAGGATGGTCAACACTGTAGAGAAATCCAGCTCTGTCAAGCGCTTGCTCAGAATTGACAGATCATACACAAGATTGCTGTAATATTGAAAAACAGGATGCACTAATCAATATTACGAGAATTTATTTGATGTGGCTTTACATAAGAGTCTGTACCCAACAACCATGTGTTTTATGCAGTTTCAACATATGAATTTTTTTACACCATAGAATTAAGATCCAACAGCCTCCATTCTTCTTCTACCTCCAGCTTTCTTCTACCTCTAGACAATCACAAATCACAAGATCATAAATCCACAGATCCACATATCACAAGAAATAATTTTTTTTCTATCGAAGGACAAATCACAAATTGTAGAGAAAGAGGTACCTCGAGCCGGACACACGGGGCGTCAGGTGTCTCCACACACGAGGCATCAGGCGTCAGACGTCAGGCTTCTACAGCCAGCTTTCTTTTGTGCATTTGACGTCTCCACACACGAGGCATCAGACGTCAAGTCCACACACGAGACAGCCCAGCGATCGGACAGGAGGAAACGACACACGCAAAGTGAAAAGGGAGGGAAAAAAAATCCCTATATTTTTTCTCCTAAAACACATGTACGTGTGTTGTATAGCATTTCTGTCACAGAAACATATTAGTAATGTGCAAGGTGATGCAGAACTGTACAAAAATGTTTAACAGTATTGGAATGCTGAAAAGAATCTCAAAGTTGTTAACACTGATTTACCTTTAAATGATGAAAAGAATCTGAAAATTAGTAACACTGGTTTACCCATAAACTAATCGAGACCAGCACGGAAAAGAATGCACTCCATGTGGCATAATCATTGTTTTTTGTAGGTGGTGGTATTAGTAGATAGGATTTGAATGCCTAGCATAGTGAGATTCAGTGGCAAGATAAAATAAATTTTTACGTTGACAATGTGGTAAAGCTAAGACAACCAAGTAGCAGCTGAGACATAGTAATTCCTATAAAAAAATAGCACATGCCTTCCGAAGAGGAAGCGATGAATCAAATAGCAGTATGCCATTTTTTTCACAAAGATTTCTCCAACAGAAGGCTAATGTGGAAGCACCAAAGAGCAGCT